GTATAGGACAATTAAGAAAGACAATGAGAACAAGAAGAAAGCCTGATAATAAATAGTTTGACAACTAGGCTAAAAATATCTGAAAAATCAACACTAAGAAACTACTTAAAACCTTATGCAACAAGGCATGTATAATTCCATACCATCATGAGGTGGACCAAGTCCCATTCTTAATCAATCCATTGAATTTTAGGGCCATGGATTCCCCATACCTACTGCTCGTCTTGTTGGGTTGTCCTCCTCATCAGGTGGGACCCACAAATTGAATAAAGACAAAATGAAGAAAAAGTGGAAAATGACAAAAAGGGGAATCAAGGAAAAGGGTCTTATGTATTTTTTGGCTTGTCTTGCAAGTTAAAGTCTTTTGCTACCCAACTAACTGGGATAGCTCACTTACAACTCACTCACTCTAACATCTCTTTAAGAAAAATATTTAGAGAAAGAAAAGGAGTTTTGAGAAGAAGGTCTTAAGAAGAAGAAGATTTGCAAGGCCGAAACAAAGAAGACAAATCCATTTTTAGCATCTCTTCTTGTCTCCTTGTTGTGCTTTCACTCTTGGTGAGAAACATCTTGTTTGCTATCCATTTTGTTGATGTCTTTGTTATTGGAATCCAAGAACCTTCTTGATGTTCATCATCTAGCTGTAATTAGATAGAAAAACATTGTATCTCATTTTCGTTATTGATAGTGGATGATTTGGATTTTGGTTCTATGGTTTCTATCCTCACATTGAGGGGTTTTCCACGTAAACCTTGGTGTCTACTATTGTTGTTTGCTTTATGTTTGATTGTTTATTCTATTACTGCATATGTGCTATTTGTTGTTAAAATCTCTTTGATTTGCACAAGGAAAAAACATAGGGACCATTCCCAACAAAGTGGTATCAGAGCCGAAGGTTTGGCTAGGTGCAAGCGTTGAGAGATGAACATGGTGATTCCCATGGCTTTGTTCCCTTTCCCCATGGTCGAATAGAGCAGTTGGTGAGCGGTTTTCAAGAGCATGTATGTGGTCCCCGTGATGCCATCCATGGTGGCGTGTGCTCGAATAGGTAGTAGTAGGTGGTAGGCTCCCTACAGCTTGAGCAAGGGCTCTTGGTGTTGTGCATGCAGTGTAGTATGGTACATGTCAAGCTTGGTGATCGACTTCTGTTCAAGGGGAAGTGGTTAAAGAAACTCACATGTGAGTAGGTGTATGGAATGAGTGAAAGACAGTCCCACATTGGAAAGACACAAGAAGTGCAAGGGACTTATATACAAGAGTGGCCCATAACACAATAGCTTAGGCTTTTGGGTTATAACTGGTGTTCACCTCTTGTTCACAATTGAAAGGTGAACAAGGCAAGCCTAATGATATGTCAAGTGACCAATGGGAAATTATTGACTTGAAAGTCGTTACATGCATTCAATAATGGTTGGATGATAATATTTATCATCTTGTGGCAAATGAAACTTCAATTGTTCCTCTTTGGAACAAGTTGGAAGAGTTGTATGAGAAGAAAACCGCCGGAAATAAGGATTTCTTAATAAGAAAGCTCATAAATTTGAAGTATAATGAGGGTTTGTCCATTACCGAACACTTGAAACAGATGCAAGATGTTGTAAATCGGTTGGCTTCAATGAAAATGGTGTTGGATGATGAGTTCCAAGACTTAGTGTTACTGAGTTCATTGTCAAAAAGTTGAGAGACACTTGTGGTGTCTCTTAACAACTCTACACCCGAAGGAAAAGTCACAATGAGTATGGTAAGAAGCAATTTGCTCAATGAGGAAATTAGAAAGAAATCATTGGACACTAGTAAATCAAATGCATTTCTTATAGAAAGTCGGGGTAAAAGTCAAAGTTGGGGTTCATACTACCATGACAAGTCTAGAAGTAAGTTTAAGTCAAGAAAAGATATTACTTGACATTATTGCAATAAGTCGGGACACTTCAAGAGAGAATGTAGAAAATTAAAAAGTAACAAAAAGAAAGAAAAAAGTGAAAAGAAAAAAGGAAATGAGATGACTGCAATTGTTTTAGATGGTGAGGTTATGATTTTTGCAGGATGTGAAGGTCTTGTTTTAACCTTACATGCCAAGACACAGATTGGATTATTGACACTGGTGTGTAATACCATGCTACTCCACACAAGGAACTCTTTGCTACTTATAAATCAGGTGATTTTGGTGTTGTAAAAATAGGTAACAACTATACATAAAAAATTGTGGGGTTAGGTGATGTACAAATAGAAACCGATGTTGGTTGTAAATTGGTTCTCAAGGATGTGAGGCATGTAGCGGATCTTCGCTGCAACCTAATTTCTGTAGGAAATTAGATAAAGAAAGCTACAACAACAGTTTTGGTGAAGGAAAACGGAAGCTCACCAAAGGATCTCTTGTAGTGACAAAGGGCGAAGATGGCATACCCTTTACAGAATGAAATCTCAGTTATGCAAAGGGTGGCTGAATGTTATAGAAAAAGACTCCTCCAACCTATGGCATAAGTAGCTTGGTCACATGAGTGAGAAAGGACTTCAAGTTCTTGCCAAGAAACAATTCCTCCTTCATGTGTTCATTGTTTTGCTAGTAAACAACATAGAATTTCTTTTCAAAGAAAAAGTGGAAAGGACAAAAAGGGAAATCAAGAAAAAGGGTCTTTATTTTTTGGCTTGTCTTGCAAGCCAATACGTCTTTTACTACCCAATGAATTGGGATAGCTCACTTACTACCCACTCACTCTAACAACTCTCTAAGAAAAATATTTAGATAAATAAAAGGGGTTTGAGAAGAAGGTTTTAAAAAGAAGAAGAAGATTTACAAGGGCTGAAACGAAGAAGACATCCGTTTTCATCATTTCTTCTTGCCTCCTTGTTGTACTTCCACTCTTAGTGAGAAACATCTTGTTTGTTATTCATTTTGTTAATGTCTTTGTTATTGGAATCCAAGAACCTTCTTAATGTTCATCATCTAGTTGTGATTAGATAGAAAAACATTATATTCCATTTTCATTGTTGATAGTGGATGATTTGGATTTCGGTCCCATGGTTTTTACCCTCACATTAAGGGGTTTTCCATGTAAATCTTGGTGTCTGTTACTGTTGCTTTCTCTATGTTCGATTGTTTGTTTCATTACAACATATCTACTATTTGTTGTTAAAATCTCATTGATTTGCACAAGGAAAAAACATAGGGATCATTCCCAACACTTCTCTCTTATTCCTAATGATGAGGAGCCCGGCTGTTACTCTCCAACAGCAAAACATTTGCATTGGCAAGGGGTATTTAGTTGCCAATTGAGCCTTAGGACTATCAGTATCATCCATAGATCTTGTCACCATAGCATTCTGACTTACTGTTGAAGTATGAGAATCAACTGAAGAAAGTGCTACTGGCTTAAAAGTGAGAACCAAGAGGATGAGTAATAGGGCTCCTAAATAGATTGATACTTTGAAGCTTCACGTGAAGTAGAAATTGGATGGGGGTGGGTGAGGGCAGGCCACGATCTAATGAAGATGAGATGGTGGCTGAGGTGGCAACATCATGAAAGGGAACACGATTCAATAGAAGGGGTAACAAGTCCAGCATAGAGAAGATGATCAATACTCCATCTTGTGTTTATTGTATTGGAAGCACATAAGAAGGGGTAACAAGGGCAGCCAAATATTCATAGCAAGGTATAATCTAGGGGATGATGAAAAAGCTTCTTGTAATGAGATAAACCACCGAGAACTAGAGTGGGAAATCTATTACTAAGAAAAGCTGAAGTCTCGAGCTTCAACCCAAAAACACATGGAAAGAGATGAGGTGACTGTTAAGCCACCTCATTAGAACCCATGTAAGAAAGACAAGTAATCACCGAGAACTAGAGTGGGAAATCTATTACTAAGAAAAGCTGAAGTCTCGAGCTTCAACCCAAAAACACATGGAAAGAGATGAGGTGACTGTTAAGCCACTTCATTAGAACCCATGTAACAAAGACAAGTAATTGAAGCATGGTATGATGGTGGATTTATTGCCTTATAACTAAGGGTGTCAATGGACCGGTTTTGAATTGGACCATGTCCAGTCCAAAATCAATTTGGATGGATTGAACAGACCAACAAGACACATTGGATTGGACCAATCCGGTCCAAAATATTTATTAGATTGAATTGGACCTGATTCATCCGTAATAAATTTATATTGGATTGGGTTGGATTAAGTCAATATTTGGTCCATTCATAGAAGATAAGAATATAGGTGTTAATGAACCGAGTTTGTGTTGAAACCAATCTAAATCAAAATGAATTTGAACAGATTGGACAGTCCAGACATTGAACCGGACAGGTCCAAAATGATCCAAAATATTCATTGGATTGGATTGGACCTGGTCCATTTATAATGGACTCACATTGGACTGGATCGGATTGGATGAAATCCAGTCCAATTGACACTCCTTATAACCTATATAGACCTAGCTTTGAATCTTCCCACTTATAAGTTATATCAATGTTTCCAATTTGTAAGTGAACCTAAAAGATTGATTGACCTGTCATATAAACAAATTATTGAGCAATATTTCGACCTACATCACTTTGTTGCAAAAAAAAAAAAAAAGCTGATTTGATCAACAATCTATTATTTTTTTATCAATTTTGTCATACATTATTTTTCTATCTTTTGTCTATATCCATTATTTCCATTGGGGTTGTCAATGGACTCTAAAAACCTGATGCCCAATTAGACTTTTAATCTGACTATTCTGGATTTGGATGTTAATAATTAGATAAGTGGTAAAACTACAAAGGATAAGGTTAAAAGTGAAGTCATCCAAAGGAATCTTATAGTAGCTCCAACAAGTGATAAATTGAGAGAAAGTAGATTGAGGTGATTTGATCACGTCAATAGATATACAGGTTAGTAGAAGTGATCTACTGCAAGTTGAAGGGATTAAAAGAGTTAGGAGCAAGTGATCTACTGCAAGTTGAATGATGATGATGATGATGATGTGCTGAAAATTTTTTTTTATTTTTCTAAAACTGTCTGAAAGCATCAAGGCAAATTTATTGATAAAAAAAGTGTCCAAGGCGATAGAAATACATGCTTAATTGGTCAATCATCCAAAGAATACAAATTTGATTTGGGCAACCCAACTGGCATCCCTATGCCAACCCTACTACCCTACTACCCAGTACCAGTCCAGACTCCAATAAGAGAATCATATAGTTGGAAATACAGTTTTATGTGACAAAACTATCTTCTCCAAAAAGTCGTAGTTCTGGTAGGATCCATCAACATAGTATCTAAGCTCCTTAACTTTGTGGCTTTTTGATCTTTTGGGTGTCAAGATAGCAACATATGCCTCAAAGTGGAAGGCACTAGGATTTTCAACCAAACCCCTGCATGCATGGCTCAACTCTAGGTCTAGATGTTGGAACTTGCTAACACCCTCAAAAAGAAGCTGCTGCCGCTTAACCCACTTCGAGGGTCCAATCCATTCAACCTGCATTAGAGAGATGACAACAAATTTGATTGAACTTGTGCTATTGCAAATTAGGCCTGTTTGAATAAGTGCGCTTTATATTGAAACATGCAATATATAAATATAATAACAAGGCTGGAAGCTTGTTTTCATTGATTAGACAATAGCAAAAAGTGTTATTTCTGCTAGCTTTGTTCTCTTTTCTTTGTTTGGGGGGCTAAAGCCGAGGGAAAGCATATAACAATCAGAAAAAACGATACACAAGTAATCAGATTTTAATATATACTAGACCCCACAGGCATCCTCGTTAATTGGTATTAGTACCACATTAATTACTATTAGAAACCATAGTAATGAAAATGGATTGACACTACTTGCTACCTTAGCAAATTGATGGCTATTCAATATTCCACTATATTTCAACATGAGAATCAGTCATAGCCAGACGATTTTACTGATTATGATCTGAAATGGTAGAGTTTGGAGCAATCTTGAGCATAGCATAGGCTTCCATGTAGATGTTGGTCATTAGATGGACGATCAAAGAGAACTTCAAATAGTGTCTTGCCAGAGAGCAAAGAGGATGGCAAATAGTTAATGAGGTAGGCTGCAATCTGTACTTAGGGTGCAACTTGGGCGGGCCCAATCAGAGCCTGGATCAACCAAGCCTGCAATTATTCAAGGGCTAGCCTTGGATTTTAGGGCCTTAGGCTGGGCCTGGGTCAAAAAATTCAGGCCTTTTTATTTTTCGGGCTGGGCCTAGGCCTAGTCCTTAGATAGTTCAAACCCGGCCCTACCTTATCCTAACCCGAGCCTGATCTACCTATGTATGGACATATATGCATCATTTGATTGACAAACCATATATACACACAACTAAATTTAATTGGGACTGATTGACCAACCCAAGCCTGGCCTGGGCCCAATCCCAACTCAAGTGCATAAAATTTCAGTTTGGGATGGGCCCAGGTTGGATAGTTTGGGCTTGACCTAAGTCTTGAGCGAGGCTCGGGCCTTGGGCCCAATTCTTAGGGTTGTGCCTGGGTTGATCTTAAACCCACCCCAACCTGCCCAACTTGCACCCCTAGTCTGTACACATTCCCCCCAGAAGGAGAGGGACAAGGGGCTTGAAAACACAAGGTCCAGGCCACACCTCTAAAAGGTGATAGTGTTTACACTTTGCAACACCTCTTTGTTGCAGGGTGTCAACATAAGTAGTCACCAACAGTAGTAAGAAAAAACATTCATAAAAAAAAAAAACAGTAGTAAGAAAAAACCTAGCACCAAAATGAGTAAGCGTATGAAATGCCCCCAAATGTCAAAGAGAATCAAGTGGAAGGAACCTAATGCTTTGTTATTGCTTAGGGGAAATGGTGCATGTGTCTGTCTGCTTCGATTGATGACAAGCGTCACATAGAAATCAACAGAAAAATAAAACAAATATAAAAACAGAAGAAAGGAAGAGAGAATTTGTGAGAGAAGAGAAGAAAACTAGAGAAGACAATCAATTCTGGCCACCCCCTCTCATTAACTTCTATACCTAAAATAAAAAGCATGTACAAAGACAAGTATACCCTTAATAAGGCGGTTGGTGCTTACAACTTGAAAATAAGAAATAAACTACTACTCTAACAACTTCTCCTAGCAAACTAATTAAACAAAAACAATTGAGAAAGTAAGTTATTGACAGTGTTAGGATCGACAGTACAAGGGTAGTTAAGTCATTTGTCTATCTAATTAAAGTTGAATGGTCTGTTATGTCTGAGTTTAAGTTGTGTGTCCCATACTTAATGAGGGACAATATTGTCTTTTGTAATCCAACACATAGAGTATAAATACAAAGTGGGTCGGCTGGGTGAAGTGACTTTTCTTCTCCTAGACTGAACCCTTTCTTCTTCTTCTTCTTACCTAGAACTAATCTAAGGCTAATCGATCTATTCACATGGTATCAGAGCAATTATAACAAGTTCAAATCTGCCCAATTTTTTTTATCGCCAATTTCTCTAGGGTTTTGCAGATTTCTCAAGAATTCCTTGGAGATTAAGGGAAATGCTGCAAAGGAGTGATCACTTTTCTCTTTAGGAGGCCTTCATGCCTCTAGTTTGTGGTGCGGTGGCTGTTTGTGGCAATTGGTAGGAAGCTCTCTATTTGATAGTACGAAGAGAGCAGGTTCGGGTGGTGCAGTGTTCAGTCGAGTACAGGTCTGGTTTGTAGTGTGCAGTACAAGTGTTCGATTTGATGGCTGATTGGCTGCAGATCAAGTACTAGGTGGGTGATGTGCATTTGAAGGAGTTTGTGGTGCTGAAAGTGAATTAGGGTTTTGTGGTGTGGTATACAGGTGAGTGAAGAAAAAAAGAAAAAAGGAAAAAAAAAATCAGATATGGGAGATAGTATTGAACACAAGTCTAGTGTTATGGTTCCCCCTGATTACCTAAATGTTCAAATGGCCTCTATCAAATTAAATGGTGAGAACTATGTGCCATGGGCTAAATCTATAGAAGTGTTTTTAAGAGCCAAGAAAAAGGTGAAGCATGTGAGAAAGGAGAAACCCTCTTCTAATTCTCTAGGGTTTAGTGATTGGGAACAGGAGGATGCTCAGATTATGACCTGGTTGTGGAATAGCATGGAGCCTAAAATTAGTGTAAATTTTATGTTCCTTGATACAGCTAAGGAAATTTGGGACCATGCTAAGAAATTATATTCTGGCCAAGATAATACCACTTGAGTGTATCAACTTTACCAAGAGTACTTTAACCTGAAGCAGGGTAATCAAAGCCTAGAAGAATATTATGCAAGCATGAGGAACCTCTGTAATGAACTTAATGTGTAGCATCCTCTGGTACCAAGGGAGTTCACAAACCAAAGTTTGACAGTAATTTAGGCAAGTTGGGCGTGATAGATATCTATGCTCAGCTTGAGGGGGAGTGTTGAGAATACATTGTATTGTGAGGGGTTTTACTTTTATTTTTTTGTCTTTACCCTCTTTTTAGATTTGGGCACCCAAATAAGGGCATTTTTCTAATCTCTCTTGTATTAGTTTCTTTTGTTTTTTGGGTGTAAACAATAAAAGTTATGATCAATTCAAATGAACCCCTTTTCTTGCAAGTGTCTTTTTTTTGAAGAGTAATAAAAAAGTTTTATTAAAATAAAAGGATTACAAAAAGAGGTAACAAGATGGCACCTCGACTGAAACAACAAGACAAAATTAAAGACTGTTACAATTCTAGATCTCCAGTACATTCCAAAAATTTGCCCCCAAATCTGTCATATTTTTTTCAAACTCAGGTAGCAGTAGAACCCACTCCAAGACATGATGACCTACTGATGCCACCAGCACCTCTATCTTTTTGGATTTGTCTTCAAGCACACGACAAAAGGAATGCAGCTCCAAACTAATCTTTCTGTCTAATCTTCTGGGATTTGCCAGGACTTGTCCATTCTACCAGGTGAATCTGCCCCTAAGCAGTGGTGGATAGATGAAGCCACACCCAGTAATAGAACCGCCAAACCTTCTCATCCCTACACCTAGCCTTCTGTCCCTTCCCCCTTCATCTCTCCCCTCCTAACCACATTAAAATCCCCTCCAATGCACCAAGGGCCCTCCCACATCCTCCTCAAGCTTCTTAATTCAGCCCAAAAGTTAGCTCTCTCCCCTTCTATGTTCAACCCATACACACTTATCACCCCCATCTCCAATCCCCATTCGTCTCCTCTAGGCACACTAAGACTGAGAACCTGCCCACATTTTCCCCTATTTTCTTGTAGACACCCAGATCCCACAAAATAATAACCCCCCTGACAGCCCCTCAGAATCCAAATTCAGCCATTCTCCGCTCCCTTTCCCCCAAATCTCTTCCTCCATAATCATGCTAAAAGTCTCTAACTTTGTTTCCTAAAGAAGTACAATCTCAGGATTAAAAACATCATATCACATTCCTGACCACTTCTCTTTTGCTCCTCTCTTAGACCCCTAACATTCCAACTCAGAATCCTCAACCTGAAGATCCTGCCTAACCTTTATACTAGACTAGGGCCCAACTTCTCATAAATCCTCCCACGGAAACTCGTCCTCCCCCCCCCTTCTTCAACTCAGTTACTGTTCTTCCAATGGTCTACCACTTTCTTGCTCTTCTCTTCTCTTCTGGCTTTCTCGAATTGTTCAAAAGCCTTCCTTGCAAAATCTTCCCCTCCCCAGAAAAATAAACTCAGCGACTTCCCCACTGACACCTCCTTTTCTACTAAAGCATTTATGTCTACATCACCCTTAGCTGCCCCTTCCAAAGCCCTTTGATCCCTTTGCCTTCTTACCCCTCCTATCGTTCTCTCCCCTCCCTGTTGATCCTCTGAAGAGCAACTTCGCTCCTCTACTTCCCTCTCTTCCCCTTCCAAACCAGAGTTGATTCCCTCTTTATAAACCAAATCCTTCTTACTATCTCTCCCCACATCCTCTACAGCCTTCCTTTTTCTCTTTTCCACCCCAACTTCACCAACTTGGCTTCCAAATTGAACCTTTGGACTTCACCAACTTGGCTTCCAAATTGAACCTTTGTACCTATGGTGCCATATTGCACCATAGGTACAATATGGCACTGGATTGAGAACACTCAACTTGTCCCAATGGCCCTTCAACTTTGTAAAGTAGGTCACCACCAAGAGATTACCTTGTCTAAGCAACACAAGATTTGGATTAAGTTGGTGAATTCGCAGTGCACTCCCTTGTGAAAATTGCTCTTCTAAATCTTTCCAGATTTTGTAACTTGTATCTAGATAGGCTACACTATCATGCAACTCCTTTGCAAACGAATTGAAGAACCACGCAATTACCATGGAGTTACACTTTATCCATGCTTGCTCCTTCGTTGAAGCCCTAGCTGGTTGTGCTACCATACCATCAACAAACCAATACTTTCTCTTGGCACACAGAGCATTCTTCATCGCTCTTTTCCAAGTTAGAAAGTTCTCTCCATTGAGAGGACACAACACAAGAATGGCTCAAGGATTGTTTGAGGGATGGAGGTAAT